TTTTGATATAGACCCTTAATAATGATTTGGCATTTTGTTACAAAAGTATCACAAGACTTTAATTTCTTACTTAAGGTATCCCCAAACCGACCATCAAATGGCTACGTAATGGTAGACAGTTGACAGGCAGAGAACCGGGTATTTCCATCTTGGAAGATGGCACATTATTGGTCATCACTTCAGTTACACCATATGACAATGGGGAGTACATCTGTGTGGCAGTCAATGAAGCTGGAACCACAGAAAGAAAATATAATCTCCAAGTACATGGTAAATGTGGATGATGTGTCTAATATATTTAAATGATTCCCAATGTAATATTGCTTAATATTAATATGAATAGAAACATTACCAAGCAGGAAACTGGTGGTCTAATTGCATATATTTGTTTATTTATGAGAATTATAGTTTCATGTAATTTTGTATTTTACATCATTCAAAATTCAAATGGTATGGAAAGATACATAGCTATATGGAAAAAGCCTCTTGTTTTGATAACTACAGGCAAGGGAAGTTATCAAATTTTTTAGTGTGTATTTGTGAGTGTGTGTTTCCAGACATTTTAAGCATATACTAGGAAATATGAATATATAATATTTTACCCTCTTTTTATACATAAAATAGGAAATACATATGGTTGAATATTATACATATTGTTCTACATCTTGCCTTTTTCACTATATAAATTGATTTTGAGTAGTTATTCAATATTCCTAGCTCTTATATATACATACACAGCATCTCATTGTATGGTAATACCATGATCTATTTAACCTTCCTCTAATAATTATGAACATTTTGTTTGCTATCAATTGTTTGCTATTTTAAGTGATGTAATAAAAATCTTGTACATGTGTCATGGTACTTGAGTCAAATTATATATACATTGTACATTTTGATAGAGATTGACTTCCATAGGCACCAGGCAATATGTAATCACATCAGCAGTGAGCACCCATGAGTTTATTAAGGCTTTTGCACTTTGGTTTTTTGAGAGATATGGAATGGAGAGGTTTGCTTCAAGTTTCTCCCTTAAATGTACTTTTAACTTTTATCCTAAATTCAAAACTCTGAAATCCTAAGTAAAGTAAAAATGCAGTAAGGATTGTTGATTATAAATATATTTCTCAAGAATTTTTTTCATTTTATAATAATTTATTTGCTTAAATATTACTAACCTATCTAGCCATTAGATACCTAGTGTAAATAATATTTATAAACAAAATTTATTATAAACTATCTATCTAGCTCTGCTACCATATTGGTTATGAGTTGGGCTGCTAATCTCAAGGTCAGCAGTTCGAACCTACCAGCTGTTCCACAGGAGAAAGATAAGCCTTTCTGCTCCCTTAAAGATTTACAGCCTCGGAAACCATATACAGGGTCGCTATAAGTCAGAATCGACTCCACAGCATATAACTACCACTACCATATAAACTACCTAGTCATACTCTTCTTTCTTTTTGCAGTTCCTCCAGTAATAAAAGATAAAGAGCAAGTAGCAAATGTGTCAGTTTTGCTACATCAGGGGACCAATCTCTTTTGTGAAGTTGAAGGTACTCCATCCCCCATCATTATGTGGTTTAAAGATGATGTCCAGGTAATTGGAGACCTCCAAATATTTATAACTCCTTGACTTAATACCTGAGAAATACATTTTTCATTGTGAATCATTATTAGTAATAAAGTTTTATTTCAATTTCTAATTACGCATTTTTATGAAGATTGGAAATAATTGATCATTTTGACCCTCATAGGTGACTGAAAATAGCATCATTCAGATTGTGAATAATGGGAAGACATTAAAGCTCTTTAAAGCCACTCCAGATGATGCAGGAAGATATTCCTGTAAAGCCATTAATATTGCAGGCACTTCTCAGAAGTACTTTAACATTGATGTGCTAGGTAAGTAAGACATTTTTTTTAACCGTTTTTTTTCGGTGGTTTTTTTATGTAGAACTATGTTGATAGTATGGAAGAGCAAAAAGAAAAGAAGAAAGTGATGGAAGATATAACAGGTTTTACCACTTTATTCATCCTTAATGTTGGTCCAGAAGCTTATGGTATAGAAAGTTTGAAGACATCTATTTCATGGAGATATCTTTGAGCATTTGGTACTATCCTATGCATAAAATAGCAAAATTTTAATTTGCCAGTTTCTTCAATTGGATGATCAGGAAATAATGTGGGAAGTAGCTATTGAGGGTAGTTCAGGGAATATTCATGTTGTTGATGTCTCTTGAAACCACTGCTAGTTTGTACTTGAACCTGAGATAACAATGTATCCACCTGCCTCTGTGTTCTTGTTTATTCCTATAAACTAAATCACATCATCTCTGACAACAAGTAATGGGAGGAAATATTGAGAGTGGTAACACTTGAGATAGATTGGGATAAAAAAGTTTTCAGTTTTGAAAATGGTAATGTTAAACTGTAATTTTAGAATTTTAGGTTGTGAATTTGTATTTACCATTTAAAGTTCACTTCATAATAAAATGGCTTATTTATGTCTTATCAACATTTTACTTATCAGAATGGCTATATGCTTTGTAAGCCTGGGATGGAAGTAAGGTACATAACATTAAAATAAGCCCTCCTGTTGAATTTCTCAAAGCCTGGAGTACTTTGCATTTTTTCTA